TCATATCCTTACTTTTGAAAAACATTTTATTTATGTCCTATATATTTTTGCTGCATTTGAAATGACCCTTGAAATTCATATTATAAAAACTAAATATTTAACAAATAAAGGTTAGAGTACCATATTAGATATTTTTCAAAAGTTTAGCGGGGCGGCTCCTCCCCCCGTCCTTCATTGGCTGCGTCCCTGCGTAGGTGGGATATTTCCTTATGAACTCAGAATGGGACAAAACATTAGATAGCAGTTATTTTATCCCATAATCGCTCCAAACATAAGACATACTTACACAAGACATAAATTGTCTGATCTGGTACTCCAAACATTCCCTTAAAGCAGGGTGTTCGTGGGGTGGTTTGATTCGGATTTTAACATTTTTTAATCCAATCCAATTTAATCAGTTAGTAAAATTTTTAAACCAATCCAATCTACTATTATATGATAACCAAACCAATCTAATTTAAATCGGATCGGTGTGGTTCGGTCGGATTGATCGGTTTTTAACACTATTAAATATATGAAATAATATAAATAAATTTAACATTAAGTCAAAAAACATAAATATAAAATATGTTAATATCCAAATAAATAGAAACATAATTAAAAAAAGTACAAATTATAAACAAATTCTTATACTCTTTTACAATTGTAAAAATTGAAAAGATTTAGAAATTATAAACAAATTCTTATACTCTTTTACAATTGTAAAAATTGAAAAGATTTAGAAATTATAAACAAATTCTTAAATTTTTATCTTGATCTCCAAGAATACACAAAAAAGGGCTGCCACCAGCCTCCCAAGCTCTTTTAATTTTGAATTTGGATGGGTATTTATAAGGTTTTAGAAACCCTAATTGAAATAGAAGTAGGATTTGAAACAGAATAAAAAACTTGAATGTTTGACGCTGAACGTATAATGCTGACACTCTGAATTACGTATCGACACAAAACAAGAAACATAAAGTTTGATTTTGAACTATTAACCCATGATGTCGACACCCATATTATGTGTTTAAGAATAAACCCAGCAAAATGAAGACGACAACCTAGACAACAACCCAGCAAAATGAAGATGGCAACCTTGGCAAGTGCATGCTACTTAAGAAGGTAGGGTTTTAAGAATAAAGTTGCAACTCACTTATAAAGGTGGAATTGTAGGGGAATTTAAAATTTAGAATTAAAATTTAGGTATATAATTAAAAAAAAGAAAAAATAAATTAGGAAATATAAGATATGTTATTTTTATTTTTAATTAAATCAATAGAGTCATTATCTTATAAAATAAGAAAAAAAA